TGACAGTCGAAGAAGGTGAATAGCAAACCCGTCCACTGATTCGAGCCACGTTTTGGCAGTAGGGCCATCTGCATACCCTGAAAGAATGTCGGCCGCCAACAATCCTTGCATGAGGAAGACCTTTCGGAGATCTGCAATGGCTAGCGGCTTGCGGGGTTGATCAGGGATCGGACATATCGCGAGGCCAAATGCACGGGTGAGCAGTTCTTGTTGATTCAAATTGCCCTCGCCAGAGAAGATGGCTCGGAAGAATGTCCGATTTGGCTCATCCCGCGCCAGAAGCTTGGCCAGACTGTCAACAGCCGCGGGAGTGTACTTGTGTACAGACGGATTGTATGATGTGAACATGATGCCTTCTGAACCAATCACTGGGCCCGGAAATGGGGCGAACGACAAAAGGAAATGTAGGAGACACAGAGCTTCTTCCTTGCTGGGAAGCTGAATGGTATGAGCAACGTTGCTCAAATAAGTCACAGTGTCCTTCATAAAATCCAAAGTGTTCTGGTGTGTCCGTAGCAGCATATTGCGAGTACCCAGGTACCGGATTATCGTTGACATGAATTGGACAACAGGAGGCGTCGACAGAATTGCAAAATTCGAATCTGAGAATGAAAAATTCCGCAGTATAGTCGTTATGCAAATGAGCCTATCAACAGCTCGATCTAATTCGTAATCAAGGCTTCCGAACTCAGGCACGTCGGCCAAAGATGTCCATTCGGACTGACAACCACGAGTCACTTCCTCATATGAGGATAGAAGCATCGAGTCCGAAACCTCAGGAGAATGTTCTGCAAGGAACTCTGCTTGATCTTCTGCGCACTCTATCAGGCTCTCTACCAGGTCGTCACAGTTATCCAATGAGACTTGAATTGCAGGCTCTGACGAAACGGACGCGAGGGTGTCCAATGCCACGCGCATCTCGGCATGAATCCCAGACTTGATGCTCATGGTAAGGGCGTGAATGTCGATGACCCCAAGCTCAGCAAAAGCAGGAAGATTCGGCTTTAGCCTCGTGATGTCTTCTCCAATCTGATACATCTCATCCACCACTATGGGACCATGGAAGTTGCTTTCAGGAAGCATCATTGGCTTGAAGGGATCTTCGATAGGCTGTTTGAGAGGCATATTAGAAGGCTGATCTACTGGCTCCGGTTTACCGACAACTGATATCGAGCCTTTGCCACGCTGCGCAGGGGATTGCGCGGGGATTTGAGTGCTAGAATCATGCGGCGTTGGGGGCGGCTGGGATTGACGCGATATGCTGAGGCGGTGCTGGTTCTGTTGTTTGCTCTGTGTTTTTACCGGCGTTGGAGTTGCGAAGCCATTTGCAGCATTGTGTTGTACATTATTCGGACCAGGAGCACTACCAGGGGAGGGGTGCCCCATCTGTTGTGGAGTTTCGAAGCCTTGAACTGGCTTTCCCGCTGGCGACTGTAGTTGCATGCCCGAAGGATCGCTAGGCTGCCGAGACAACGACGACTGCTGCATTTGCTCCGCATATTGCTTTTGTTGGTTACTGAGGAAGGCTTGTTCGTACGCTGCAAGGTTCCGCTGGTAATGTTCCCGAATTTCTTGCGCAGCCATCGGGACCTGCATCGGGGGAAATTGGAGCTGTGTGGCGATAACTTGCCACATATTGGTGGCTGTAATCTTCTTCGACCCTCCAAGCTTCATGACGGTAGCGTAAAGTTGGACAAGATTGATCGGACGACCACACACATGTGGGTTAGGATCCAAAACAAGATTGCGCGACATCATGAACTTCTGCAGGGACCGCATGAATCCTTCCGGGTTCATGGGTTTCGCCATGGTCTGCTGCATTTGCCTGATAGCTGCCATTTGCTGGGGGTTCGCCATCGCGTTCATCCCAGCTGCCATGGGTCTCCCGGCCATGGCAGGATTCATTACCATTGGACGGCCTTGTTGTTGCATCTGCATGGCATGCAGACGTTGTTGCTGCTGCGCGGCAATTGCTTGTTGATAGCCTTGTGGCATGCCACCAAAATGAGCCTGCATTGGCGGTTGCACACCGGCGGTCGTCATTGCAGGCGCGGGAGCAAATTGAGGACCCATGCCCGGTGGAAACGGCTGCCCTGGCATGAACGTGTTATTTTGGGGTGTATTCACCCTGCTCGGATGATCCGACTGCGTCGGAGACATGTGTGTCCCTACTTGAGGGCCTGCTGGTGTGAATGGGCTCGGGGAAGCAGTTCCCATCCTTTGGATGCCATGTTGATCGAAGTCTTGCATGATAGGCGACTGGGTCACATTCGGAGATGCTCCTTGTTGGAGATGCTGATATGGAGTGGGATGCGAGGGAAATTGCGGCGCGCCGTTCGCAGCACCTTGATAGCCAGGGAACGGCACCTGGTGAGGGGTTTGCGAACGGGAGGCAGCAATGCCGCCAGGAGCTTGCCTTGGCGACATTGACATACCATCCTCCGGCCGTGGCCGCTTGGAAGGAATTACCTGGTTCGGGTTGTGGAAGCCAGGCGAGACATTGCGAGGCACGCCGTTGAACATGCGCTGGTATTGGGTCGGGTCAGGAGTGGGAGAGGCTTGGAGGAATGCCTGAGAAGGATCAATGGTCGCCTGGTGAAAAGCACCATTGTCATGGTTCGGAAGGTTCAAGGCGTCGGCTGGCCAGGCATTCATGTCGAGTAGTTTTACCAACCCATCTGCGAGGCGAAGCAAGCTATCAGAAAAATTGACACAAAGATTGGGGAGCCATCATCAAGCCGCGACGAGGGGAATGGGGATCTCAAAGTCATCATGACCTCCATCAACGCGAATGAGGGAGACGATGAGTGTCGATGAGATGATGAGGAGGGGGCAGACGCGTCAAGCTTGGTGCAAGAGCTGGCAGAGAGTCGCGCTTCACTCTGCGACACGAGCAAAGCAACAACCACACCTCAGCGTGCAATGAGGGGGCAATGGGGGAGAATGATGGTGGGAAAGGTAGTGAAAAGGGGATCGAATAGGTTTGAAAATATCAAGAAGGAAAATGGAAAGGGACAGATAGGATGGATGTACATACCGACAAGGCTGGATAACTAAAAATGCCGACTCACAAGCGGATGGAGGCCGGGTCCCGAACAGCAGTGGTTGGAAAGGGCCGGCGAGAGATTGCGAGGGAGAGGAAGCAGGTCACGGGACCCAGTAGTACTGTTCGGGGGGAGAGAGAGAGTTCTGGGAGCGCGTACCCGGCAGAGGCGAGAAGACTCGGGAAGGCAGCAACAACTGGTGGCTGAGGGCGGCAAAAGGCAGTAAGTAAGCAGAAAGTCAAGTCAGAGGGCTCAGAGCTAGCTTGGCACGAGGAAAGTAAGAGAGAAACCAAGGTCGGAGGGTCTGGACCAGGTGGGTAAAAGCTTCGGGACAGATCAAACAAGAGATGGATACAGTAGACAATAAGATAGCGCTGCACTTCCGTCTAATTCTATGACATGACAGCCTGGAGACGGAGAACCATAGACAGAAGGAGGGAGGGCGTTACAACGTGCGTGGTTCAAAGTAGTTTCCGAGGAATGGCGAAAGGGTGGCCCGTCCTTCTTTAGTGCGTGGCCACAGTTTTGGAGGAGGGAGGGGAGTGGAAGAGTGTGTGAAGTGTGTGTGTGTGTGTGCGCGCGTGTGGGAGCAATTCCAATGGCTGGCACCACATAATGGGCGGGCAGGGCGTACCTTGTTCAATGTACCTAGTCTTGTAGGTACACTCACCGTACCTTGGAAATTTGGTAATTTATCTTGGATCTTATTTTAGAATTTCAGGGTAATTTTTGTTTTTCGCAATTTGGCGCTGAAAGAGATGGACGAGATATGGGGAAGGGGGGAGAAGAGGGTCTGGCTTTTTGGGTTTCCTTCTGGAAAGGTGGAGTTGCGAAGGAAAGACAAGAATGGAGACAGGACGTGGAGAGGGAACACAGAAGCGACACCTCAGGACACGAAACGGAGGAAGAAGAGGAAGAATAGATGAGATAACGAATGAGAAGAGAGTGGGAAATCGGTATGAAGCGTGATGTATGACAGAGAGTTGATCTTACTACCAGCAATGAACAGCGGCAGCAGCAGCAGCAGCGAAAAAAAGGTAGCAGTTCAATGCAGTGGAAGGAGGTGGCCAAAGTAGAAGGCGGTCTTAGACGGCAGAATACTTACCCGGGTCTGTTCCACTTGGTGTTGTCTAGCTACAACAAAGTAACTACTCAGCAATATAATTTGTCGGACTGAATATCTGCAATACCTGATTACTGACAATCAGTTACGCTTTCCCAAACATGACAGAGATACCACCAGACCGGCATGTCGGGATTGTCAACCAAGGTACCAACTAGGGACTACGGACCTAAAAGATTTTCTGACGTATTAACAAAATGAATGAAACTCATCCAGCATCCCATACGCGTCTACTGTATGTCATCAACCTAGTAAGTTAGTTACTCAGTACTCCGTAGTAAAACTAAGACTAAAATTGATCATGACAATAAATTTTCCCGCCTTCATGGCTTGGCTTTTGGGTCTTGTTGAACGTTGAACGAGGGGACATCTCATGGCCTGTGCGGAGGATCAACACCCCCAACAATGAATTCCCCACCCACTACCTCGACTTGTTTTGTGACTTCAAGGAGTTTAGTATCTACGATAGTAACTACTATTTAACCTTACTTACACCTCTGTACTCACATTACTTAGTACTTAAACACCAACGGCGTCCGCAAGCGCTGCCAAGCGAGGACCTGCCATATTGGGAAGGTAGCCCAACTGGCCGGGTCGTACCAGCACAAGCTGGCTGTTTCACCCATCTAGTACAGGCTAGGAAGAGGGATCATCGTGAAGGATGACAACAAACATGATCCCTTGGGGAGTCAACTATCAGCACAAACATCTTCACGGATGCCAAATGGGAAAACTTATAAAGAGCATTTCCCTTTGCTTGTCTGAGCATTCCGCTTCGACTAAGCACCTCGAATCATTTCTCATCTACATTACTTAATTGACTCTCTATCAAGATGGCAACATCTAAAGAATGGCAGAAGATGCTCAACGGTGAGCTCTACTGGGCCTGGGATGCAGACCTGCAAGCCAACCGCCAGCGATGCAAAGAAGCATGCGACAAGTTCAATCAAGCAGGTCAGGTATCTCGACGTCATAGGGTGGAACTATGGAGAGAGTGAGAAGCACCAAGCTCATTCGTCAAAATGTTCATTCCTACGAATCATCAAGCTGACTTGGTACCATAAAGTATTGTTGGTGACACTCGTCCTCTCCCCCCAGCCCTCTCCGATCCCCAGGAAGACGAGAAGCTTTTCACCGAGACGGATCCATTCGTGGACCCTCCGATCTCTGTCGATCACGGCTTGAACTTCAAAGTGGGAAAAGGCACATTCCTCAACTTTAACCTTCTCGTGCTTGACACCTGCCTCGTCACAGTCGGTGAAAGGGTGCTTTTTGGTCCTAATGTCTCTATCTACGGCGCCATCCATCCCATGGACCCCGCCGTGAGGAATGGACTTGAAGGCCCTGAAGCTGGCAAGGAAGTGCAGATCGAAGATGATGTATGGATCGGAGGTAGTGTCATAATCCTCGCTGGGGTCACGATCGGGCGTGGATGCACTGTGGGAGCTGGAGCTGTTGTAACAAAGGCACGTGGATCAGCACGACTCCGAGTACAAGACTAATCACTGACTCTTGATGGCTCTTTGTGTAGAGTGTACCACCGTTCCATTTCGTTGCAGGAAATCCTGCTCGAATCATACGCAAGATAGAAACAAGTATGGATCCTAACCAGCAGCCAAAAGAACTTGGGGCGGAGTGAGACAGACTATATCCACATCGGTATCTCTCTATGATGATCACAATCGCGCTAGATATTTTCTCATCAATCAAACCATATTTACAGCACGCTCTCACTGTTTCAGTGAGTGATGTCTGAAGAACGTTCCAGTATGACCACTCCCACAAGCAAGATCTGTACAGTACACAACCAGTGCGTGCCATATTGCTAATGATCGGGCTCGTCTACGCAGTAGGTTTACCCAGTTGATCAGAGTATAAGATAGTCATGTGGCCGCACCAGCCCGGGAGCCTGTGTCTATATGCGTCGGTGAGCTTGGAATGAATGGGGCCCAGGGAGAGGTAGCTTACAAAGGTCGTCCATGAAATGTTCGTATCATCATCGGGACTTTGAGCCGCCCGGGCATCCCAGACCTTTTTCAACAAGTCGTTCGGTACTGGGTTCCGAAACTCAGACCTTCTCTCAATTTCGCGCAGTCGTCCCAGAATATAATACCGCGAATGAGGTGACAGACAGTCCGCTCCGGCCATGAATAGAGGTAACACGACAAGCTCTATAACTGAGCAATCGGACGAGATCATCGCTGTCGCGTCGAGGATCTTTATTACACATTCCTGTATCTCCGAGTCGCGAGCTGGTCTATGCGGATCCATCAAGCGTAGTATACGCAACACACACGCAAACTTGTGGGCTTCTGCTATAGCCATCCATAAGGGATCCGATGTGGGATAAGTCCTGCAGTGGGGGTCCCACGAATAGAGCTTCTGCTTGGCCAGGTGCAAGGCAAGTTGATACTCATCCCATGATAGCCAGCCCAGCATGTGCTCTTTTGACTTTTCCAATGCATCGCCGATGATTAGAAAGATTTCACGCGGGACTCCATTGACCTGCTCGAACATGTCATCGCATGCATATGCGACCAGGTCTCGGACGTCCTGGGAAAAGCACATCCGTTCGGCGCCAGCAAATGCTCGGACGATGTCAAGCCTGTTGTTAGCCGTCAGTAGGATCGGCACGGACGCTCGCGGCACGGGTGACAAACCAAGCCAAATTCCCTAGAAAGAAGACCGCTCGCTGTCGACGGCCATTCAACCCGTCGGCAATCAATTGTTTATATACGGACATGGCTCCTGTGATATGGATCCCATGAGAAGACACCCCTGATTCGCTTATCTGCATGTATATCAGATCCAGTGTTTGAAGCAACAGCCATGTTGGGTCTTCCGACTGGTTGAGCTTACATCGTGGAGTAGCAAAAGTTGGATTATAGCGAGGACTGTGTCCTGTTCCTCTTCTCGCAGCGACGTCCGCTGACTCTTTCGAATCTCCCCACTCAACGCGCGTATTGCTTTCAGCCGATATTCCACGGCGGTAGCTTCGTGCATTGCTTCGTCCCCTATGAGTCTGCCAAGATGGGAGGCAGATAATCCTAGAACGGCATATAACAGGCCGATCTGCTTCCGTGCTAAAGGAAGGATAAATGCTCTATATGGGTTGTTGTCATCATCCCCAACCTCGGCAATCTGATGAGGACAGATGACTTTGTCGTCTAAGAGACACTGTTAATGTTTCCATTTCCCGAAAACATCGGCTCCCAGTAGGGATGGTCTTACAATGCGTCAATAGCCTCTCAGTGAGAGGTAATACGAGGACTGTGCTAATGTCATCTGAAAGCTCTGCCAGCGGCTGGTTGGAATCATCGGAGATAGATGATTCTTTAGTGGGGGATCTCGGGCTGTCTCCAGCCATAGCCACCGAAGTCGATCCTGTGACACCGTCCGATAGCCCTTCTGTTGCGGAAGACTGTTCTCTGGTCAAAGCTCTGTTGCTGACAGGTATACGTGCCCCTTTCCACTTTCCTCGACTAGCGATACCACAAAATCTGAACTGCTCTGGATATCCTCCGCATACCAACCCTTTGGAGATACAACGTTCACAGCTTGGTCGACCACGATCGCACTTGCGGCATTTTTCCCGGCACGTCAGGCATGCCGGACCTGCAGCAGTATGTGAGCAACAGTGGTAGATACCTCAAGAGGAGATCGCAGCTGGGTGCAATCATACCAGCTCGTGGCATTCTGCCGTCCTCTCATGGGCGTTCACCGTACGACAGTTCTTTCGCTGCTGTCCACGCGACACCAGGAGTTCAAAGCGATGACATCACCCGTATAAGCCACAGAACCACATACGAAGTTCTAAGAATGATCACACAGTCTGTTGATGGTGGTGTTCCTTATGTGGGTTCCCGTCTTCTTGTTTCACAAGGGACTGATGTTATCGCCCAAGTAAGCTGGGTGATTTACCCGATCAAGGTACTGGTGGGGCTGTGGAGTGATGACTAAGGACCTCTCATGCACCCACTTTCAAGCACGACTGCTGAATAAGGCACTGCGCAATTTCTACTTATCCAGCCGCACATGCAATTTGCATCTGCATCGATTTGTCTGGTCCACTGCAGCTTTGGGCTATTCCACTTGCTACAGAAACTAGGATTTTACGGATATAAGCCCTCGGGGTGTGGCAATTTTCCCATGTCTCTGCTGGGGGATCAGCGGCCGGATCCGGAAACAGCCTTGGTCGAATACGAACCGCAAACCAACAACTTGGAAGGAACCATGACATTAATGTTCTAGAAACGCTAGTGAGAAGGGTGATGCAAAGATGCCACTAGCAGGATTTACAAATTCGGTCGATCATCACAATGCATTTGGAGCTTGCATTGCAGGGACCAGACTTATGCACCCCGTAAGACGTCTCGCTTAAGTATGTAATCATGCTGATCACATCTGCTTGATATGCAGACCTTAAATTATCAGTGGGATGAGTATTACTGTAGTCGTCTGACTTACGGTCTAATAGACTGACATGATGCTCAGCTGAAATCAAGATAATACTCATAAATGAGCGAGGTTTAGAGCATAGAAATCTGAATTTACTACAGCGGACCCAAGCCAAAGAAGATCTCTCAGTACTATGCATGAGCCATGTCAGGGTCTCTCAATTCCAGAAATACAAATCATACAGCTGGGCTGGCCCCAGCTTGGAAGTTCTTGCCAATACTGTCCAGAGTGAACTGATGGGAAGTTCGCTTAAGCAGGTAGTAAGAGGCACTCAACACGGCCTAGAGTAAAAGTAACCATTTGTGACTATTCGAAGAGCTGCTGTAGATCAACCGGACATCCACACCATGATCATGATAGATTAAGGTCACTTAAACCTCTACTAGGCTCGTTGCAGGAAGGGCCGGCCTTGGCTCGGATTTGGATTAGCTTCACCTGGACTAAACGAACAGGACCAGTAGTCTAGAGGTATCTGGCCGGTTCGTTCTGCTGGGGTCGATCAATCGGCAGCTTCTTCCTTAAAGCCAGCAGGTTGATTAGAGTTACTTCGCGGAGTACCTATGGCGGTGTCCAAACTTATACAGGAATCGTTTGTTAATGTACTTGGTCGTAGGCTCTCATACGAGCCTGCTATATATAGGTTCGAGGTGTGAACAATATACAAGACTTAACGAACTTGTACATGATCCCAGAAGCCCTTGTCAGTTTTCTGCAAGAATGATACAATGATTGCCCTTGTTTTTCTGCTGCGACTTGGTCGATCTGAGCAATATCTCATATCAGGTTCGATGTAAGTTCGACGTGGCTGAGATGGACACGGACTGAAAAGCATTCATGATACAAGTATGCTAGACGATTGATAAATAGCCCCTGCTCTCGATGAGTGGAGTGATTCAGGAGAGCCCTGGGACTTGCCGAAGGCCTGAGGGTACATGGGTACCTTTGTATCTCTGTGGTAGGATATAGTATTCTTTGGTGTTGCTCTTTACAGAACATATTCCTTGCTAGGTAGGCTGAGTCTTTCCCGATGGCCCATGTCTGTATGCTCGCGTCTGTTTTCAAATAATGAGGTTGGCCAGATGCTGTGATGATAATATGAGATAGAAGCACAAGAGCTCAGTATATTGTAAATCTGCTACTATATCTCAGTATGCGGGGTCTTCGATGCTAGTGGATCGATGACGATTTCTACTGCCTTGGAAAGATCTCGGGAAGATGTAAAAATAGGTAACTCGTGACTACATGGCTGATGTTCGCCAAACTGACGAGACCTGGACGCTTGTTCAAGTATCTGCGCTTTTTTTGGACGATCAAATTCTCTAGCCATAAGAAGATGGACGGCATCGATTTTGTAATGTCAGAGTGAATTGTACATATTCTGATACGCAACGACCGTGTCATTCAACGGACTCAAAACATGATAGATCCGGTATTAGCTATGGACTTTAGGGTGTGAGTAATTTGTGCTTATGCTTTGAGAATCAGATAATCCAATTTGGGTGTTGATCCGAGATCCAAGACAAAAGATTGTCTATACCCACAGCGAGTACTGTGCTTGGCACTTGTAGATGGTTGCTGAACCGGGACTGACTGCGAAAGGTCTGCCTGAGGTTGCCACCGGATGCTTCTAGCTGACTGATCACATGACCAGGATCTGAGCTTCGTGAGCCCGGCTAACTGTCATCGACGCAATAGCTTCTAAACAATCAAGTTATCTTACAGCCCGCATCTAACGACTTTTGCTTCGTTGTGACCATATCGTCCCAAGAGACACAGCACCTTCATTTTCAGACTTCAACTTTCTGGTTCCGTTTTAGACATTCGCCATGGGAGACGTCGCCGTGGAGACCCCGGCGAACAACGTCACGCCTCACACCAAGGCAGCTCCATTGGACACCATCCCCAACATAGACTCGCTGGAGGGTACCGGAAACGACGGTGGCGATGAGTATGCAACTTTGAAGCGCTTACAGAGACACTTGGAGTACGTTTCGCAACCGCGTCGATGTCGCCCCAGCACGTATTGACCCTTGCCCAGGTACATTCAGCTCCAGGAGGAATACATCAAGGATGAACAAAGGTAAGGCATCCTTCTATCGCATACCGCATACATAATTAACGATGAATCATCCTACAGGAGCCTGAAGCGAGAGCTTGTTCGTGCACAGGAGGAGATTAAGCGGATACAGAGTGTTCCCTTGGTCATCGGCCAATTTATGGAAGCAATCGATCAGAAGTATGATGCGCCAGCAATCTAAGAATAACAGTACTGACTCTTATTCAAATAGCACCGGTATTGTGCAGTCATCGACCGGCTCGAATTATGTCGTCCGCATCCTGTCTACCCTCGACCGCGAGAAGCTCAAGCCTTCATCCTCGGTCGCCCTCCACCGTCACTCCAACGCCCTTGTTGATATCCTCCCCCCGGAGGCAGACTCCTCGATTGCTATGCTGGGCGAGAATGAGAAGCCAGATGTTACATATGCGGATGTTGGTGGTCTCGATATGCAGAAGCAGGAGATCAGGGAGGCGGTCGAACTGCCTCTGACGCACTTCGACCTTTACAAGCAGATTGGTTCGTCTTTCCCTTTTGATTCGACCCCATTCTTTTGGTGCAGCCACAGACTTGGGAATATCTCTCTGACGGAACCAGGTATTGATCCCCCTCGTGGTGTCCTTCTGTACGGTCCTCCTGGTACCGGTAAGACCATGCTTGTCAAGGCAGTGGCGAACAGCACAACCGCCAGCTTTATCCGTGTGAACGGTTCCGAATTCGTGCAGAAGTACCTCGGTGAAGGACCTCGCATGGTCCGTGACGTTTTCAGAATGGCCCGGGAGAACTCCCCAGCTATCATCTTCATTGATGAAATTGATGCCATCGCCACCAAGCGTTTCGACGCCCAGACGGGTGCCGACCGTGAAGTTCAGCGTATCCTTCTGGAACTCCTGAACCAGATGGACGGTTTCGAGCAAACGAGCAACGTTAAGGTCATCATGGCTACCAACCGAGCGGACACTCTGGATCCTGCCTTGTTGCGTCCGGGTCGTCTGGACCGCAAGATCGAGTTCCCGTCCTTGCGCGACCGACGTGAGCGCCGGTTGATCTTCACCACAATAGCGTCCAAGATGTCTCTCTCCCCTGAGGTCGACCTGGACTCGCTGATTGTGCGCAACGAGCCGCTTTCGGGTGCGGTTATCGCGGCTATCATGCAAGAGGCGGGTCTCCGCGCCGTTCGTAAGAACCGCTACAACATCATCCAGTCCGATTTGGAGGATGCCTATGCTGCTCAAGTGAAGACTGGACAGGAATCCGATAGGTACGTTTTTTTCCTTGCTGTATTTCTGTCTGGCTAATGACTAACCAACGCTAGACTCGAATTCTATCGGTAAATCAGGTATACAAGAAGCGCTGGGTTTGAGTTGGCCATGTGTTCGCAACAACAATTAGGCTGGGTCTTAGCTGTAATACTGTTAGGCATAACACATCAAGACAATGATTGACGTATCTAGGGATTTGTTGACGTAGGTCGTTCGAGTAGATATGAATATTGTTATTACAGCGATTCGACACAGCATATGATTATCAGTGTACAGCAAAGCACAGCACCCAGAAGGGGAGCTACCGGAGCTCCACGGCAGCGTACCTGTCAGCTGCTCACCCGGACAGGCAAGGTCCCGGGCGCGGACTTACGATACTCGGATACGGGTACAACAGGCAGCAGGCCAAGGCGGTCTTACATCATCACTCTAGCGGCAGATAGGCTGATAAGAAGCGGTAAACGGCGTTGGGGAATAACAATCGTCCTCCTCCCCCAACCACTGTCGCCAATAATGGTGGTTTGACAATGAGATAAATGGGTGTAGTTAACTGCATATCTTGAATCAAGATGTTTAGTCAGAAGTGTTGATGGGATTCCTGAAGATAGAACACTCAAACTTGAATTCAGGCACCGCAGCTCTGCTGGCGCTAATTACCTTAATCCATGAGAGATAAACCCCGTGATTGATGATCCCCTTGCCAATGACGCAGCCGGGGCAGCCAGCCATTGGCTGGCCCGCAGCAGGAGAGCCTGAGGCGGCGTGAGGTCGCTCCGCAACCAACCAGTCACTCGCATCATCGCCCTTCCTCCCATTCCCCCCCCGGACCTGACCGTGACCTCCTCTCTTCCTCGCCTCTCTCTCCGTCTTTCACCTCGGGTCTCTTTTCCTCTTCCCATCTCCCTCGAACTTGGTTCATTCATCGACATCTTTAATTCATTCTCCTCACTCCCGTTCTTTTCCACCTGCCGTCATTGTCACTCTTTGAGTCGTTCCTTCAGGTGTCGCCGTCCATCATGAAGTCCGTCTCTTTGCTCACAGCATCTATGCTGCTGGGCTACACCTCCGCCGAGGTTCACAAGCTCAAGCTCAACAAGGTCTCCCTTGATGAGCAGCTGGTAAGTACACCATCAAGGCAACTGTTGGCCTTGTATTCAGATCGGCTCTTGTTCCAACTCGGAATCGCTGACCATTTGAATGAAGTCTACTCATAACATCGATGCCCATGTTCGCGCGCTGGGTCAGAAGTACATGGGCATTCGCCCCAACATCCACAATGAACTGCTCCAGGAAACCCCGATCAACGACCTGAGCCGTCACGATGTTCTTGTCGATAACTTCATGAACGCCCAGTGTAAGTCCCTATTCCATTGGTCTCCAGGGTGAGCGGCTGCTTATCGTCTTCCGTGACAGACTTCTCCGAGATCGAGCTTGGTACCCCTCCCCAGACGTTCAAGGTTGTCTTGGACACTGGTAGCTCCAACCTCTGGGTGCCTTCTTCGGAGTGTGGCTCCATTGCCTGCTACCTTCACAACAAGTACGACTCGTCTTCGTCTAGCACGTACAAGAAGAATGGAAGCGAGTTCGCCATCCGCTACGGCTCTGGCAGTCTCAGCGGCTTTGTTTCTCAGGACACTCTCACCATCGGTGACCTGACCATCAAGGAACAGGACTTTGCCGAGGCAACTCAGGAGCCTGGCCTGGCCTTCGCTTTCGGCCGGTTCGACGGCATTCTCGGATTGGGTTATGATACCATTTCCGTCAACAAGATCGTTCCACCCTTCTACAACATGCTGAAGCAGGGACTTCTGGACGAGCCCGTCTTTGCTTTCTACCTTGGCGATGCCAACAAGGAGGGTGATAGCTCCGAGGCCACCTTCGGTGGTGTTGACAAGAGCCACTACACTGGTGAGCTGATCAAGATCCCTCTTCGCCGCAAGGCCTACTGGGAGGTCGACCTCGACTCCATTGCCCTTGGTGATGACGTTGCCGAGCTTGAGAACACTGGTGTCATCCTTGACACCGGTACTTCCCTCATTGCTCTCCCCTCCAGCCTTGCTGAGATGATGTAAGTTCCTCGGGTGAATTGTCCACGGAAATGTTACTAATAAGTGCACAGCAACGCCCAGATTGGTGCCAAGAAGGGCTGGACTGGCCAGTACACCATTGACTGTGCCAAGCGCTCCTCTCTGCCCGATGTGACCTTTGCCTTGAGCGGCCACAACTTCACCATCAGTGCTTTTGACTACACCCTTGAGACCCAGGGCTCTTGCATCAGTGCCTTCATGGGCATGGACTTCCCCGAGCCTGTTGGTCCTCTGGCCATTCTGGGTGACTCCTTCCTGCGCAAGTGGTACAGCGTCTATGACCTTGGCAACAGTGCCGTTGGTCTCGCTAAGGCCAAGTAAACGAGGGGTTCATATAGCGTATTTTCATGGTATGTACGCAAGAAGGAGGGGATGATATCGCATATATTAGCTCGACCCCCTAGCGCGCAGTAATCATTGTTATTATGTTATGATTCAAGAGATGGGTCAAATTCGAACCCAGTTGTTGCTTTAGTCCAGGCTCTTTCCCACAGATCAATGTGTACTGCCGTGACTAGTTTCGTAATCATCGTGTATGAACTTATACCAGTACAATGAAAGCACGATTAGATCGTGTTGAGATATAGCATCTTACGGTAGAGTTGGGTGGTCTTTGTTCTCTTTGTGCAACTGGATGATGACGAGGTCTGGGCCGGGAGCCGGTGGTTTTGACGGAAACCCGAGAGTCTCGCCCCCCCCGCACAGGCCAATTCCAAGTTCGAAGGTCAGCCAAGCGGCTGATGGACCGACGCTTGGCACAACCACAACCACTCTCTCTTCCCTCCTAGCTCTTTGCTGTTGCTGCTGCTGCTGCTGCTGCTTGCTGCAAAACTTGCTACTGCTCCTCTTCCTCCAGTCCAGCTATTTTTTGGGGCGTTCTTCTTGCTCCATCTCCCCACCCGACTCACCCACCCACCCACCACTTCCACTTCCTTCACCACTGACCAGACTTACTCAGTACTTCCTTCCCACTCTCGTGACCTCTCCTCCTACTTTCCCCTTCCACCTCCCCCCTCATGCAGCTTTCTTGTTCCTGATCGCATCCCCAATCACCACCCTCTTTCATCATCATCAATCCTCGTATTCTGGTCATAAATTACCCTTTTGACGTTCGTCTTGCTAGCCTTTTTCAAACCGTGGTTTGTGTTTCGTCGCGTTCGATTCGCGTGGCGAACCATTTGCGACCAGCTGATCCATAGAACTGACCGCGGTTGTCTCTTTCATTCAACCCCCGTCTTTTGACCATCACAGCTTCGGAGCCTTTTCTTTGTGCTTTCGGGTTCGACCTTCTACCTGCCTACCCACCTACCTGAATAGTACATATAGTACGGATCCGAGCAATCGTCTCCCCGTCGCGTCTCTGGATCACAACAGAACCCCAGTTTACTCCGATCCTTCCCTCCTGCCTCTATCCTTCTACAGCGGCTGCAGCGGTTACCGAAGGCGTTGTCTGGTTTTTTGTTGCTTCGGGCATGGCTTCCTAGTTCCTTTGCTCGATCTTTCTTCCATCGCGATCTCGTTTATCATTTGTTTTACACACCACCCTTCCTTCCTCGACTCTCATAATTCATGAAAAGGAGGGCAAAAAGGGTTGGTTGATTTCGCTACCGGACAGAAGATTGGTGTGGGCTCCAATATAAATGCTTGTTCGGTTACCATCCAGCCTGCACTACCCGATCACCGTAACGTCGTTGCTCAAACAGCCCGGCGATGCGGTGGAAAGGGAGGATGCGCTGTTCTGGTATGTCTACCAGACCACCGTCACCGAGGGTGACGGGCTGGGAAATAAAGTCGAGGTGAAGCGCAAATTTCCGACCAAGTTTGAGTCACCCGTCGATGGCGAATTGGTTCAGTGGAGGATTGCAAAAGGGGATGTCATCAATGGGCCGTATGTCACCATAATGAACTGGAAACCCACGTTTCGAGGTTCGATTGCTTTCACATCTCGGGAGCTGAGACTGACTTCATCTGCTATGTTCCAGGGTCGATTTCATGGTGGTCGATGAACCATGTGCTCACGAGGTTCAGTTCGGGGGACTTTGCGCAGAGTGTGGGAAGGATATGACTGCGTATGGATCCTAAGCGCGCGTAAAAGTTAGGCTGTCAACGGATTGCTAATGTTTGAGTGATAGATCCACCTACAACTCGGATTTTCAAGATGTCATGCGCGCGACGATCCCGGTGACCCACGAAAACACCGGTCTGACCGTGAGCGAGAGAGAGGCGACGCGGGTGGAAGAGGATGCAAAGCGCAGCTTGTTGTTAAATCGGAAGCTGTCCCTTGTGGTCGATTTGGATCAGACGATCATCCAAGCAACCGTTGACCCCACGGTGAGGGAATGGATGGAAGATAAAGACAATCCAAATCACAAGGCTGTCAGGGATGTCCGCGTGTTTCAGCTTGTCGAGAATGACCCGGGAGCGCGTGGAGTATGGTACTATGTCAAGTTGCGGCCCGGGCTGGAGTCTTTCCTGCATAACATCTCGGAGATGTTTGAGCTGCATATCTACACCATGGGCACTCGGTCTTATGCGCAACATATTGCTGCTATCATTGATCCCGATCGTAAGCTGTTTGGAGATCGCATTCTGAGTCGAGACGAGAGCGGCAGTCTCACAGCCAAGAATCTACATCGGTTGTTCCCTGTGGACACTAAGATGGTGGTCATCATCGATGACCGCGGGGACGTTTGGCGCTGGAGCCCCAATCTCATCAAGGTCGTGCCGTATGACTTCTTCGTCGGCATTGGAGATATCAACTCCAGCTTCCTGCCCAAAAAGCAGGAACTGGTCTCTCCAAGCACGCCGGGCGAGAAGTCTGCGGCCAAGACAGTAAAAGCATCGCCCCGTGAGCACAATGCTAATGGAGCTACGGGCAGAGCAGGGGATCAGCCGGAGATGTCAACATTGGAGCAGCTAGTGACGATGGGCGGAGGAGACGACCCTCGCCTACTGCAGGAACAGAGCGATGCACAGAATGAGACGATCATGCATCAAGTTGAAGATCGACCGTTGTTACAGAAGCAGAAGGAATTGGATGCAGAAGAAGATGCCGCTGAAAGTAGTGATTCATCAAGTAGCATGGACGACTCACCGGAGATGAACAAACACCGACATCTTCTTCTGGAGGACAACGACCGGGAGCTGTTTGATCTGGAGGTTCGTCTTGAGCAGGTGCACCGCAATTTTTTCGACGAGTATGACCGGCGGAGATCACGAGCGCTGGGAGGACGAGTGGCAGCTTTGCGCGGCGAGAAGACACCCTCAAAGGAGAAGGATGTCGACTTGAAGCTAGTTCCCGACGTCAAGGACATTATGCCGGCCATTAAACGCCGTGTTCTCAGTGGTGTTGTTTTGACCTTCACAGGAGTACTTCCTCTTGGCACAGATACACACAACGCAGACATCTCGCTCTGGTCCAAGAGTTTTGGTGCGACCATCAGTACGAAGATCAATTCAAGGGTCACCCATCTCGTGGCCGGACGGAACCGCACGGCTAAGGTTCGAGCTGCAACGCGGTACCCCAACATCAAAATCGTGAGGACGCATTGGTTGAGTGACTGCTTAACACAATGGAAGCGTTTAGACGAGAAGCAATATCTCCTGCCTGTGCACCCAGATGATCGCGAGCCGCCAATTTCGCCAGGCCAGGAAATGGAGAGTTCTTGGCTGTCATCTGAGGAAGGGACGGGGGTCGCTGGCACGGAGGAGGACGAGCCTGAAATGACGGCCGATATCTTGCAATCGTCTGGATTGACCGAGATGTCACCTATCGGGTATGACGCCGACCAACAAGCCGCCATCCACGAGGAATTGAAAGAGTTTCTGGGCAGTGACGACGAGAGCGAGAGTGACAGTGATGCCTCCTTCATGGAAGATGCTCCCACAACGGCGCCCAGCAAGAAGCGGAAGCGTCCGGAGGATACAGAAGATGAGGACGAGGGAGGAGATGACAAGGGAGACAGGGCGCAAGATGCCGGAAAACCCCATGGCTCGCGACTCGCGCAGCGGATTCGGCGGGTGTATGAGCGGCCCGGCACCGCACTCTCCCAAGCAGTGTCTAGTGCAGCAAACTCGGAATCGCCCAGCAGTGAACCGGAGGTGCAGGCCGATGCGCCTTCGGGGTCCCAACCAGCGGGCACGATGCCGGCTCCGGAAGAAGAGGATGATGAGCTCGAACGGGAGATGATGGCGGCGTTTGAAGATGGCGATTACGACGCGACGGCCGAGGAGAAGATCGCGGAAGAGAACGGTTGACATTAGTTAGCAGCTCTAGACGTTGTCTTTGTTCTGTGTGAATAGGCTAGCGGTCATACTACGCTATTGTCATCATTGATAGGAGCATTTTTGATTCGAGATCATGCTGGCAAGGCATAGCGAGGGCGTTTGTGCGCGATTTGCGTCTACGGGGGGGTCAATCTTTATGGGGGTGTGACATAGGACTCAGATATAGGGTTTAGGTTTTTCAAATTTGAATGTGTATTTGGATTGAATAAGGTATCGGCATTAATGTAGACTAGGTGTCTTTCGCAGATGGACATATGACTATCGACCAGTAGGAAGAGAAAGACAAAAACTTAAAGGGGAGAAAAGGAAATAAGAATACACATAAGGTAGATTGTTCATACATCAGAGCAGCCAATGAGTCAAGTCATGCAATCATCTCACATCCATCACATCAATGAGAAACATCAAGATCCTAGTCATCCAATCATAACCATCACCAGCATTTTCTCACCTGCCCTCCTCGCACAACTTCAAGTTATACTATGTAGAGTACTAGGTAGGTCCCCCCCAAAAGAAAGGAACCAATAAAAAGGAAAAGGGAAAAATCATCGATAAATATCCCGATGCACCTGCCACGACATGATCATCATCCACGCATAGAAGATGGTATTAATCAATTCGAACGCAAACGCCGTTCTCCAGCAATTACCTAAACACCAAGTCAAAATTAGCCAGTTCCTTTTTCTAAAACTTGTTTGGTTGCGTAACACCACCACCACCATCACCACCACCATCACCACCACCATCACCACCACCATCACCGCCACCACCCAAGAACAAAAAGAACATCCGAATAAACTGGCTTTTTCAAGGGTTTGCATGGGGACAGGGTTGACACATACAGATTGTACTCTCGGTCAACCACGCCAAGGTCTGGAGATTATCGCCGGTGGGGTGGTTTTTGACCAAAATAAAATTCCGGCAGTTGCTGTCGACGTTGGCGACGACACCGTACATCTGCAGGCTCGTCTCGATCAACCCGGTCAGCCACAGGGCGAAGAGGATGAAGCTGCCCACGAGGATGATGCCCGGTAGGAGGAAGCGTTGGGCCGTGAGGACGTAAATTAGGATGATGAAGAAGAGGCCGAGGGCGGCGGTCACGGTCATGTAGGGGAAGAGCCTTTTCTTGTTGTTAGAGGTTTCTGGTTTGGAAGGTGGAGTAGTGGTTAGAAGGGAAGGTGGGGGGGGGAAAGGGCTGCACACTCACCATGGTATATCCAGATGGAGCTCGTTCTGGACGGACATGAACCAGGCGAAGATGCCTAGACAGATGGCGTTGCCGGATAAGACGATGATTAACCAGATGTTGAGCTGGAGTTCGGGCCAGTGGTAGCGGCGGCGTCGGTAGATGCGGACGCCTGCCATTTTTGGGGGGGGCTTTTCTCCAGCTTTGTTGGTGGTGGTGGTGGTGGGTTCTGGTAACTTAGTGGATGGATGATGGGCTTGGGCTTTGTTGGTCGTTGCTCAAACTCTTAGTGCAGTGGTAGGCTGCGAGGGTGTTGGTGGAGAATCGTGTTGATATATGAGTTGATGATGTTGATATACACACGGTATACCGTTGTCGGTTGTTGGAGGGCTGGGTTGGATTGGGCTGCGTTTGTTCGTGGCTGCAATTTGCATACGAATCGAACAATACACAGATTGCGAGGTTTGATCGTCTGGTAAGTTATATGATGAAACACTCATGCGATGGGGTGGTTATATTTAGCTCCTCCAGTAGTTGCGCACTCGCTGACCGCTGCTCAGCTCTCCACCCCAGCTTTTGATGATGATGATGATGATGATGACGGTGTGTGGAGTATACTTCAAGGGCAGCAATAGGGCGGCGGGCCACCTCAGTCAGTCAGGCAGAAACCGCCCACATTCCCTTGCAGGGCATTCGATTCGATGGGGGTAAGGTCCAGACTCCGTGGTTGTCAGTGCATGGAACGTCGGTCTGGATAGGCGTCACCGAATGCTGGTTACTGGGGAATGATTGATGGGAAAGTGGGCGAGTCAATTGGGCTGTGATGATGATGATGATGATGATGATGTTGTTGTTGATACGGAGTACTTGTTGCGTCGTTGGGCGGGAGTGGGCCGGTAGCTTGGATTTGCAGGTGCAGTAACTTAACAGTAACAATCAACAAACTCAATATGATTCAAACAGACAATCTGTTTCAAGACAGCAGAGGTGTCAAGAGACTAGCTCATTCTTTGGCGTCGGAATTGCAGGAAGGTGGAAAGCTGAAGGACAGACAGATCGGGTTTGATCGAAGCATATGGAATTCGGGTGGCTGGAAATTCGGTGGCAGGGAATTTGGCGCTTAAGTTAGTTAGCTTAAGCCTTAAGGTCCAGTGCGGAGAAACTCCATCTATAAACATTTCCGATTTCCGGACAAAACACATACACCGACCAATCGTTTAACAAAGTCATTATCATTGCATTTCATGTCAGTCTAACCTTTTCTCTATAGTATACAGAGACTATAATCTATGTCAGATATAAGTCTTTCGTTCTACAACAGGGTATCACCCAGAGCGCTGCGCACCAGCGAGCAGCCCGTGCGGATCGTGTCGCTGGCGCCCGCTTCCTCCAGACTGGGGTTGACTTCCACCAGGTCCATCGCCACCAGGTTGCCGGTCTCGTGCACACACTCGGCGATGAAGTCGCCCTCGCGGAGAGTCAACCCACCGCGCACAGGGGTGCCCGTGCTGGGCGCCCACTGGGGGTCCAGAGCATCGACGTCGAACGACAGGTGAATGGGAGTGTCGTTACCCACGTGCGCCAGCGCCATCTCCACCACGCGACCGATACCATAGCTGTGGATTCCATGTCAGACGAAACGAACCAACCACTAAGAAGAGCAGACTTACCGATCAACATCGTGCATGCTGAAGGCCTTGATGCCGTGCTCGCGCAGCAACTGCTTCTCGCCGCGGTCGACATCCCGCAGACCAATGTATACCAGTTTACGGGTGTTGACAATGTGCTCATCCTTCAACCAGCCGAAGATGTCGGGACGCTCCTCGCGGGCCAGGCGCGTCAGGAAGGCCATGGGCATGCCGTGGATGTTGCCGCTGGGGCTCATCTCAGGCACGTTGATGTCGGCGTGGGCATCGACCCAGATGACCGCCATCTCGCGGCCCAGACGCTCGCGGATGGCCTTGGCGGTGCCGGAGATGGTGCCGATGGCGATGGAGTGGTCACCACCCAGGGTCAGCACGAACTTGCCCTCCTTGGCGTGCTCATAGACCTGGTTGCTCAGCGCCTCGGTCACCGCGCTCACCGCCCGCGGCTTCTTCATGCCGCGGTGGTCGGGGTCCTCCGTGGGCATCTTGTCCTCGTAGTAGTGGACCTTGTCGTCATAGTGCAGCTCGTAGCCCAGGTCGTCGCGCAATTGATCGAGGAGTCCGGCTTGGACGAGGGCCATGGGAGCAGCCTCGACGCCCATCTTGCACTAAATTCCGTCACAGCGTTCCCGGTTAGTCTTGCTGTTGCTTGCGCCGCCCGCTAGACTCGTAGATCGGCGGCGGCGGCGGCGGCGGGACTAGAGTGAGGGGAAAACGTACCTGACCGCCATTGAAGCCAACGGCCACAACACCCAGCTCGTTGGGCTTGGAGAGGAAGCGCTGGCGAATAGTGGAGGGAGAAGTCATTGCGTATGTGAGAGATGAGGAGGGAGATAAGCGTCGTAGGAGAAGGAAGGGGGAAGGAGAGAGGCGTGAAAAAGAAAGAAAAAAAGTTCTAGAAGAGCGGGACCCGCGCTGATGAGATAAGATCAAATCAAGAATCAGGTGGGGAATCAACTGGAGCCGGGCAAGGAACGGGTGGACCACGGGCAACAACAACCAACTGGCAACAACTGTTCAGGGCAGAGCAAGAGGCAGAGTGAGAGGCTGAGGAAGCGGAAGAATAGTGAGAAAGATTTCGAGGAAGTGAAGAACAGTGAGATGATGAAGAAAAAGTCAAAGAACGCAACAAAGGCAGGGGGTATTGGAGCAGTTTATAAAACCTGGCCAAAGGGTGGTCGTGGGGCATTGTGATCGCTAAGACCTGCTTTTAGGGATCAGGACTTCCCCTAAGTACAGGTCGAGGAGAGATGCCCGCCTCGGCCTTTCAAAACCATCTCCACCCCCCTTTCTATTAGCAATCGTTTTCGGACTCCGGTCATTCTCGGGCTGGCTTACAGCTATTATCTTACTGATAAGGACAGATCACTTATGTTTGTGGTTAAATCCGACGGGTATCATCATTATCGTCATGCATGAGCGGGCTCAGCTCCGCGGACTCAGCTCCGATCTAGGATCTAGCTACGCTGTACATACGCACTGTACTCATACATCGGCACTACTATACATCTATTTCGCTCCATCCAGGATCAGTTCCCGCAATATTGTATCAGCCTTGGGCGCCTCCACCCGCCCTTTCTCGCCCATGCGCATCATCTGTCCTACAAACCAACCCAGTTTGCCCGGTTGGTTCTTCTGTCGAATCTGCTCAACCATCGATGGGTTTAGTGCAATAGCTGCCTCCGCCAACGCGATGTATTCCTCCCGCGACAAAGGCCGCAGCAACAGATTCTCTTCCTCGAGCAGCTGCGGGATCGAGCGCTGATCCCCGTCAAAAACCAGAGCCAGCACCTGCTTGGCCGTAGGACCAGTGATGAGCTTTCTTTGCAAATGGTCAAGTAAAGAGGCTAGAGAATTGGCGGGGACGGGCTGTGAATCCCAAGCCAGTTCCGCCTTGGTCAAAAGGCCGCCCAGTTCGTGCAGCACCCAATTGCCAGCCAGGCGCGCCAGTGCCTGCTGCGTCTTCGAGTCCGTTTCCGGGTGCTGTTGGCGCAGGAAGTCCACGACATCCTGATAGTATTCTAGTCGAGCACCGTCGTCCAGCTCTACAAGTGGCTTGGCATCTTCAATAGTCAGCCCATATTCCGCTCCAATTAATAGACTGAGAAGCGCATCAGAGCCTGTTGGCAGTGTCCGTCTGAGCTCCGAGATCAAATCCTCCCCAATATAGACCGGAGGGAGGTCAGGATCCGGCATATAGCGGTAGTCAACCTCTCCTTCCTTGCCACGCAATCTGCGCGTCTCAGTGCTGCCAATGGTCCAGCCACGGGTTTCACCTTCCACCACACCACCGCTCTCCAAGACAGCTATCTGACGATTCTTCTCGGCGATAATGGCGTCCTCGACGGCCTTGAAGCTGCTAAGATTCTTGATCTCCGTACGCTGTCCCAGACCTCCGATCCCGCCATACTGATGGTTGCCAGCAACGTCGCCCCTTTGGCGGATGGAGACGTTGACATCCGCCCGCAAACCACCCAACTCCATACCGGTCATAACCGCACTGCAGGATTGTAGGATCGACTGAATCTTTCGCACACAGGCCGCCGCGGTGGCCGGCGTGTGAATCTCGGGCATTGTAATGATCTCGATGAGTGGGTGGGAGACTCTGTTGAAGTCGAGCAACTGCGTCGAGGGAGGGTACTCCTGAGACTTGGCCGTATCTTGTTCCATTTGAATCTGCTTAATGCCGATGCGCACGTGGTCCCCATCCTCCGGGGCGATTCCGTCATGACGGAAGAGATCCACATAACCATTCTTCGCCAAGGGTTCTGCAGGACATTAGTCCGCTGACGGCTGAAGCTGCAGCTTGCGTGACAGTCTTACCATAGTACTGCGTGATTTGATACCCGGCAGGCTGGTCTTGATAGAAGTAGTGCTTTCGATCGAATTTGCTGACTGGCTGGATGTCACAATTGAGAGCGATGGCGGCGCGCAGGGCGGGGAGGAGGGTTGCGATTTGGAATTCCTTATTGATTATCAGGTGTCAATGGTTTGATGCGGCGAGCATGTGGTAAAGGAGTGGAACAAACCGGTTGACTGCCGGGAAAGGCGAGATCGAAGAGAGCTACATTGGAGTTGGGGAGTTCCGCTGATGAGGTGGGCGCTTCTATTCAGAGCAAGGCTCAGTCGACTGTAAGTCCTGGAGATAATGAGTTCACCCACTGGAAAAAAGTTTGGCCTCGGTGTTCAGCTGCGCGTGGATCTCAATTCCCACTGTCAACTCCCATTTCTGGCGAGATGCTTCCTCGTCCTCGCGAGTCTGTCGTTTGCGCGCCCTGAGCGATTTGGCGTCCTGTTTGAGCTGCTTGCGCAGAGGCACCCGAGCTGTTGACTCAGGGACTGCCGCGGTCTGAAGGGATCGTAGGGGAGAAGCGAGGGTGGCGGAAGGGAGAATGGATTGTTGAAGCTGTTGCTGCGGCGAGCGGCGAAGGAGATGAAGGCATTGCGGGCAAGTGAAGGAACGAGTGGCTCGCGGCCCTTGACGCAGCCATGGTCGCAACATGGTGCTCTGGCAGAGAGTATGAAATAATGGCTGCGTTGACGCAG